TTTGATCACAACAATATTTTACCAGAAATGAAGTGTTAGTGTCCATATGTACATACATTCCCATTGTACTATTCCTTTTTGAAGTAAGCAACATTATGCGAAGAATAGAAGGCATGGGCACAAGAAAAAGATAAGGAAATATAGCTAAATCTAGTTTACGCATACATCACCGCTCTATATCTTTCTATCCTTGCAAACCATTCTTGCTTCCATGTTGGCCATACACAGCTTCATACATATCAATTTGTTCTTTAAACTATTCACTCCTCTCTTTCAGGACCTCATCAACTCCATATACCATAACTTCCTCAATCTTCTCCTTCCTTTTAATCCATTTACCCTTCTTTCTTATATTTGTTTTGTGATACTTATTCTCTTTACATGACCAAACTTCATAATGTACTATTTTCATACTGCTCACTCATGCCTGAATTCAATTCACATTCATTCAGTACCCATTCATTCTTAAACCTATCTTTTCCTATATTTTCTGACACTTTTTAAGGTAACCCATTCCCACTGCATTCAAATTATGTTTATATTTCTCCCAACATACTCAATTCTATTTCCATGTAGCTAGATGGATAGAAGTATGCTCTTCTACATAGCCACTTTTGCTTCTTTTGGCAAACATACATCAGAACAGACCACATGCTATCCACTACGTTGCTCCCCACATTTGTATATCTTATTTTTTCCCATTTCTTATCCCCAGCCTCTTTGACTTCATTATCCCACCAAGCATTCCTTTTCATTCTTCCTCATAGCATAATATTGCAGATTATGAACCCTGATGAAGTAGACAGGATCCTTCAGACTGTGAGCTCAGCCACATGCTCCTTAGATCCATGCCCCTCTTGGCTTGTTAAAGTGGCCTGAGGGGTGTTGTGTGAATGGGTTGTAGTGATAGTGAATTCTTTGAGTGAGGGAGTTGTTCCTTTACCTTTTATGGAGACCTTGATTTGTTCCCTCCTGAAGAAGCAATCACTAGACCCCACTCTACTGGACAATTTTCGTCCAGTATCTAACCTCTCCTTTTTGGGGAAGGTGGTTGAGAAGGTGGTTGCACAGCAGCATCAGAGAACCTTGGATGAAGTGGATTATCTGGATCCTTTCCAGTCAGGATTCAGACATGGGTATGGGTTGGAAAGAGCATTGGTCACCTTTTTGGATGACCTCTGGTGCAGGCAGGATGACGGTTATGCACCCATCCTTGCCCTACTTGACTCCTCTGCAGCTTTCAATACCATCAACCATTGTATCCTTCAGGATTGGCTCAGACAATTGAGGGTGGGCAGCACAGTGTTGTGTTGGTTCACCTCCTTTCTTTGGGGTCAATTCCAGCTGGTGGTGATTTGGGGGGGGAGAGATCTCACCCTTGGCCCAACTGTATAGGGTGCCACAGGGTTTGGTGCTCTCTCTGCTCCTATTCAACATCTACATGAGGCCACTGGGTGAGTTCATGCATCATCATGGGGTGAGGTGTCATCAGTAAGATGATGTTATACATCTCTGCCTCTGGTGAATTAAGCAATGCAGTGGATGTCTTCTCCCGGTGCCTGGAGGTTGTGAGGATCTGGATGGGGAACAACAGGCTTCAACTGAACCCTGTGAAGACTGAACGGCTTTGGGTTTTAGGGCCCACCGGTTCTAGGACTATGCCATCTTTGGTACTGAATGGGGTTACACTGCCCCAAATGGACCCTGTCTGAAATCTGGGGATCCTCCTAGATTCACAACTCCTGCTTGAAGAGCAGGTGGCAGTCGTGGCTAGGAGGGTCTTTGCTTGTGCTCATTCCTAGATTGAGGGGCTTTAATAGTCTGTCATGCCCTAGTCACCTCCCAGTTGGACTACTGTAATGTGCTATACATGGGGCTGCCCTTGAAGAGTATCCAGAAGCTTCAGCTGGTGCAAAGTGCAGTGGCATGGGCAGTTATGTGTGTTTCTAAAAAAAAAACCACCTTACACCTCTGCTCTGCAAGCTGCATTGGTTACCAGTCTGTTTCCAGGTCCAATTCAAGGTGCTGGTTTTAAACTTTAAAGCCCTTCATGGCATGGGACCAGGTTATCCGAGGGACCACCTCCCCCCAATTACATCAGCTCATCCCACCAGATCCAGCAGAGAGGACATGCTGTGGGTCCTGTCAGCTAGGGAGCTACATTTAGTGGGTCCTAGACAGTGGACATTTTCTGATGTGATGCCTACTTTATGGAATATCTCCCCCACCCCCACCACCAAAGTGAGGCTGGCTTCATCCCTTTAGACTTTCCAGAAGTCCCTCAAAACCTGGTTGTGCCATCAGGCAGGGGACCCCGGGGGACTGGTGAAATATTGAGGTGGCTCCATTGTCATTAACATCTGCTGTTTGCCCAATATTTCTTCTCTTTTAGCTTTGTGTTTTTATTGTTTTGAAGTATAATAATAAATAATAATAATAATA